GATCAGCAACTAGCCATCAGCTTATGATATTAATAGTAGCTGTACTCTTGTTTTAACTATTATTTTTCCATGGCGAAGTCAGTAGTTAACGACGCTCTTTTGGTATCACTCGGAAGACTCCACCTCGAGTCAAGGGATCTTGCAATTCAACTGAGTAGACATTTCTGTACGCGTACACTTCTCTGTGTACGCGTGCCCTCGTAGCGTGTCGTAATCTGCTGTTTACGTAGGGGTTCATATCGTTTTATTGGACATCTGGGAGTAGGATGGATTATTGATCACGATTGCTGGGATGTGTGCAGGGATTTTCATTCGAGATCTACAATGTCGGTCAACTCAGCTCTCACACTTGTTCGGAAGAATCGATCGTTTGATGGTAAGTATTGTGGTTGCAATTTTTTCACGCGCCACGAAATTATGAACGTTCAGGCACTACGTACCGCTTCAGTCACCTGTCTAAGTGTCTGGGCAATTTAGAGGCTACTTTCTCGATTTTCATACCCGACTGTGCGACACCAAACTCGAAGGTGTGTGTTTAAAAATGCCCTCACCCGGGATTGAACCTGCGTCTATAGGTTCCTCTGGTGTATTATTTCTCTGGCCTCACATGCTCAGACCTTAACGTAACTGAGAAAGCCGGTAAGGTGGACGATAGGACGTGGAATATACCACTGCTTTTCCCCCAGGTTATCAACGCGTTGCTTCGGCGCTCGGACTGGCCATCGCTTGCCCTGACACGTCTCCTAGAGGTAGGTCTTGAGGAACTTGCTTATTCTACTGCTTATAGAGCTCTTGCTGCTATTGATCACCTTGAATGACTCGACAGCACTCGCACAGAAGTCAGGGTAATAGTACAGTAGTTCTTGACTGTAATAAACGTGCATAAGTCAGGACTGCGATGAATACGGCGGTGCGGAATCGTGAGAGTTGACTGAATTGACACCTACACAAATGAGAAAGTTCTCAGGGTGTGGTATGAGTCCTGTCAGGTGCTGGTATCCCTGGTGAGGCAGACGAGTGGGACTTTGGTGTCGGCGCGGGTTATTACGTTGATGCCACACAGGAACCGTGGAGCAAGAACTATAACATGTAAATGTTCCTTCTTATGGCGCTCTGTTGAGGTGATTTAGGTACACTTACGTTACCAGTGAGTTCCCTGCACTTCTCCAAGAGAGTTTTCAACAGATCGATACGACCAACTGCAGTGTGATGGGCCATAGTGTTGGTGGTCACGGATCGCTGACGGTTGCCTTGAAGAACCCTGGGAAATATAAAGTAATTTGGGGACCCCAAGTTACTTTAACCATTTTATGCTACCTCAAGTTGGGGTAGCATGAAATGGTTAATGCAGTGCTGCAAATAATCTTAGCAGAATATCACATTTATGGAATTGAAGGGATTTAGGAAATTCCGAATAAATTTCACTTGGATTCCCACATGCACCGCGAACCCGGCATTCCATCATTATTTGGAGGCTGCTGTAATTTCCTCTTTGTATCGCGAATGGCCACACTTGTTAGAGTAAAGTGCACACCCTCAGAGTTCCCGCAAGCGAATGAAAGATCTCTCCAGCTCGGTTACTAATTTTGTTCTCGAGAATCGTTCAAGTCACAGAATCTTGGTACAAAGCCCACGCGAACACAAATGTCGAGAGCGCAGTGCTCCCGAGGCATTGGCTTTTGAGCATCTCGGTTCAGTCAGGTGAACCGATGAATGAGATGCCGAGAGTCTGAGTAGAACCTGTAGTGCCGCAGGTTTTTGGGAAGTATCAGAGTCGATTTTTCTTGTATATTTCAGAGCGTCTCTGCCTTCGCGCCCGCCTGCAATCTGAGCGAAACCCCATGGTAAGAAGAGGGTTCGGATTTCATTGGGGAATAGTAGAGCCGCCTTAGGGGGTTCAAGGCATTTGGTCATTTCTTTGGTGAGGAGGATAAAGAGAAGTGGAAGGATCATGATGCGTGTTGGTTGGCACAGAGTTATGCTGGTAGGTGAGGGGTAGGAGTATTTCGCGGTGTATCTATGAGAGTTAACCGTCTCCTATGTGAATGTTGAAGATTTTCTATGGTATCTCAGTTGATACGGCATGCACACGTGTAGTGGCCAACATGATATACAGTAGTAGAACAGAGATAAGCACAGATCTTGGGTGAACGAGAAACTCTCTATCGCATCGTCATTCCTATTTCCTCCGTTCATTCTGGACACTATATCATAATGGTGACTTTATCGTAAAAACCGATCATCCGTGGGCTGCCCATCCTCTTAACCTGGCTGCCATCCAATCTTTATGGATAATTGGCCTATTCGCCAAATGGCATCATCGAGGATGTGGATGAGACCGCAGCGTGAATGGTATCGTTTCTCACTCAAATACTGTTCGAGGGCGATATGATATACCTCTAACAATGTTGGTCTGACACGACTAGCATGATGTGTAGTGGAGCTTCGGATACTCTGTAGGCTCAGGTCCCGATCTCGACGTGAAAGTTGATGTGGGTTCGGAAGATCATGTCTATCTCAAGGCCCCTATTGATCAGCTTAGATGCCGCAAATTCGAACATGTGGCGAATGGTAACTCGAAGGTGCGCTTGGACTTCAACGAGAGGGTAAGGCATTTCTAGTGCAGTATTTCGATGACTTTGTGCTCATCTTGTTAGCCGGGCTATGACCATTCCTACTTCTTCGTCTCTACTTTCATCGAGGACCATTTGAGGTTCCATGCTGAGCACCTCAGTAAATGAGTTTTTAATTATGAGTTATGACTACAGTGGTTTCAGCTATCACCGGGAGTTGAGTTTTTCATCAATTTCTATGGAAAGTGTGGAAATGTTGTGAACACTGCTACAGCATAAAGTTGTTTGCGTATGGGTCATTGTTAGTACCTTCCTCGGGACATATAGGAGTGAGTACACTGTAAAACGTTGCTGGTTATTCGGCGATTGTAGACTTCGCGTGACTCATGGTGACTGCGAGAGACTATTGGTGGCCATGATTGGACTTCGAGACCAGACAGCTAGAGGGAGGGTGTGCTGTTCTTGATGTTAGTCCCTTACGGGAGAGGACAGTATCGCAAAGTGGTTGCTGAGCCTGTACGAATTGATGGAAAAAGTGTATTTTCGAGATTTCGGTGAGCGCTAGTATCAGCCTATTCGCTACCCTCGTCGGCCGTTCAGTTTCCTACTGTGAATTCGCCAAGTTTACTTCTCGTTGTCACAGCAAGTCAGCCTGCGGTGAAGAGCTGGAAGGTCCTGCATCATGGACGTTTCCGACCCGTCTCAATGTTGCATTCCTATTGGGATAGATAAGCATTCCTTAAGTTCAATTCAGAATGTCTGAGGGAAGTCGGCGTATTTTGGGGTATCAGCCGAGCACAGCAGTGCCTCAGTTGTCCCTACAAAGGCCTGGTTGTAAAGGACGGCTCTCATTAGGGGAGCCAGTCAGGCCTGAGGTGAGCTGTTCTCAATATGTGACTTGATAGTGTTGTTGTTGTAGAAGTTACCAAAGCCTGACCATGTGCTGTCGGTGGGCGCCTTGCCGAGCCTATTATTGCCGGTGTTGGTGGACGAGGGAGTTGAGACTAAATTGGAATCGCCTTCGACGCCTGCCTCAGTGGTAGGGAGCGGGAGAGGTGTTTTGATGACGATGTTGGTGTCTTTAGAAAACCATAGAGTATTCGTCATTGAAAACCCCGCAGTCTGCTGGCAGTAAGGACGGGTTGGGAGAGCTTTAGGAATGGGAATGGCATCGCTTACGTGCTTATCGTTATCGCTCTCTTTTTTCATGAAAACCAGTTCAAGTGGATAAATGAAATTTCCCGAGATGCGCAAAAGCACCTTCAGTAGAGTTTGTTATGTAATAGTTTCTGTGGGGCGCACTTTGGAATTTGAGTACTAATGGTATGTATTGGCTCATTGTGTAGGTACCACAGCATCAGGAAGTCCCTCCTCTAGTGCTGTCTCCTCCCCTCCGGAGACCAAGAGGAGGAGGATGACGATACTCATGAATGGGCGTAGGATGATGGACCTGAGCGACCAACTTGTATGATTCACTCAAACATAGTGTGTGTCTCATAGTGTTTCAAACGTCATTAATTTGCCTTGATCTGCTTAAGTCGAACTGAATGAGTACGTTGGAAGTAGTATTATGGAAAGCCCTGAAGTGTCCGCAGTTGCCGTGGGAATGGCGGACTTGGTTCGGCGAGGAGGTTCCCGAGCTCTTGTTCCGTCGTATCTCATAAGTCTAGGCTGGGCTCAGTAACACGGCGGAAGGTAGAAAAGGAGTGGTATGGAAGACAATATTGTGTGGCAAATCCTGGACGAGGGACTGCCTCGATGCCGGAGTAACGTAGCGGATTCTTGCGTGCCCCTTGTGGTGATTCGAGTGGTAGTAGTATCTGCAGCCGATGATCGGGGTTTTGTTCTGCTAGCTGAGAGCGTACTGGTCCACAGGCACCTCCCACTTCAGTAGAGCCCAGGAGAGGAGGCTGTCTACCGTATCCTCGCTGAGCCCAGCACGGTCTAGGGAGACGGGTAGGAAGAGATTACGTGAGAGTAGCGAGGACAGCAGTAGGGTTCGGGATGGTTCCTCGGCTAGTAGGAGCGTATTGTGGCTTGGGGAGTTGGAGGACTATTACGGACAGGTACGGTACGCCCATCATCGGCCAATGAGGGTAAAATGAGTGGTGACGAGGAGGTGAGCGGGAGAGTAAAATCGCCGGATTCGGTCGCGTCTGAGCGTCGTATGGTTTAGTCACAGCCGGGAGAAGATCGAGGGAATGAAGCTTCGGGGCAGGTGATGATGTTTGTGACTTGCGTTGAGGAAATGCAAGATAGCAAGATTTGCATTATTCTGAGGTACAGTACATTTCGCGTGAGTAAGTAATTTGTCTATGGTTTCACTTGACGTCTAGGTTCGTTGGGTTCATCTGAGCTGCTGTGGGACGCATGTTGATTGCCTTTGATTCAATGATCCCTTGAGCTAGGGTGAGCTGGAAGTGTGAATGTGCAGGGCAGCAGGTTGGAAGCGTCATTCACTGTTGAGGAGGACTGATGGTTGGTGGGACAGGTGAGGCTACTGGGCTTTGACCGCTGCGCCAAGAAATTAAGTTAGGGACGACAAGCCTGGAGTTTTCTTGTAAGCGGATACTTGGGCCCGGGGGGAGCCCTCACTAGGCCAATTGGGCTGAGGAAGGGAGGCCCTGGCTCGACGTTGGGGGAATTTCGAGACCCGCTCGCCTGAGGAAGCGATGCAGATTTTCCTGTACTGCAAAGTGACGATTAGGAGATGGAGACAGTTCATTGAGACTTTGGTGCTGAGGTATAGTAGGAGTAATCAGAAACGACTAAGTGGAATCTTTCTGGTTAGTCGGATGCTCCAACGCAGAGCACAGTGTTATTACCTTCACTGATAATAATACTGTTCGGGTATAATGTACCATTGTTCTCAGCACCTTCTAATCTGGAGCGGTAGATCCGTATTGGGATTGCTATCAATGCTGCTGATTCGTACGTCTTCAAGATCTCACTGGAATTGCCCTAAGGCATCCATTACCTCGTGGCCTCCTCTCAGCAGCAAAGATTCGTCTTTGAGTTTGCATAATAGGGCAGGTCTTGTCTCTTCTGTACAGCTGTGCCCAGAAGAGCTTTTCCTCTCAGCGACTGGCTGTGGGCGAGTGAGGCGTCCGTTGTTATCACTGTTTAGTCGGAATGTCTACTTTGATGTGGAGTGAGACTGGTGACTGCTACACGAGCCGCGCTTTCGTATCTATTCGGAGAGTTTCTTGTGTTCTTAATCTAAGGCCATCTTAAACGGTATCTGGTAGACGCTGTACAATAAGGTGTCTTTTGGGTGCTATAGTCTCACCATCAAACGGTGGTGAAGGAGGTGCCATACTCTACCCTGACCTCTCCAAGGGTTAGGAGTATGCTACGATCGTTGCTCGGTAGCATACAAGTGTCTGATGTTAGGTCCCTCACCTGTGGGAGGTAGGGAGAGTAGGACACCTTTTCGATGATATGATGGTTGTCATGACCCGGGAGGGCACTGCTTGTTGCTACCCTATGCCATTTGTTAACTCCTATATGGTCCTACATGCGAGTTGTTTCAGTTTGATGTCCGCAGAAGTCGTATCTCTTTCCCCTACTTCTGAGTCTGAGTGTTCCATTGAAATGCCATCTAGGGATCACTCGAGCAGTGCTCCTCCTCCTCCTCCTTCTGATAACGAGCTCAGCTGGGGGCAGCGGATCAAACGCTGGTTTAACCTCAATTTCGTATTGCCCGCTAGAAGCTTGGAAAAGATGGACTTGGGTTCGGCCCTCATCTTGGGTGAGCGATTTTACTAACGAAAAATTTTTCATTTTTTCCTTAGGATTTTGGTTTGGAATATTTCCAATCCCGGGCACCAGCACCGCCCTACTGGGGGCATTCTTGGTCGTGTTCCGTAGGAGTCGCTGGACTAAATGGTGTAGGTCTTTAGAAATCTCTTCAACTGCATCGTTATGGCTCTTTTATAACTCATGTTTTAAGACTACGGAACTCTTTTGAAAGTTTGCGAATCGCTTCTCATTGTTATGCTGTTGATGCCAGTGTTGGAATAGTTGTTCGCTTACCTCAGCTGTGCTGGGAGTTTCCTCACTAATTATAGAAGTATATGTGCGAATTCGGGTAGAAGTGTACGCCAACCAATGAAAATTTCCCAAAATTTGCTCAGAATTTTCGTTCTTTCACCGACACACGTCGTTGACCATGTGCATATTTCCCCACACTGGTTGATATTACTCAAAGTCAATCTTAGAACCACTCGAAAGGTTGAAACGTTGTTGTTTGCTCGACATTGTATTGGTCCTTCCTAGGTCCCAACGCACCCCAGTCTACCATAGCACTTGGCGTGAACTTGTTATGCACTCCCCTCTGTATCGCGCTCATACCGGCTTGGTTGCGCCTAGGTGGGCTCTCATTGTGTCCTGATGATAATAGCTGCTTGAACAAGGTGCACTGGTATCTCCTGGGAGATTCGCAGGCTGCGAGCCGGACTCTATCGTCAGCGCAATAAAGGCTAGTAGTGGCTTTCTGGCAGTTCTCCGAGCCGTGCAAGCGTTCGCCTCCTGTATGGGCCTCTGTATTATGGTCTACCTCGCATTCACTCCAGTCGTTGGCTTTATATGGTGGCTTATGCTGAGGCCACAGGGCAGCGCGAGACTACCTGTTATGAGACCCGAGTCACGGGAATAAGTATCATCAGGATATGCTATAACCATTATATGTTTTTACTGTGATGCATTTTGAGTATGCTCAGGGTGTTGAATTCGAGAGTTGCTCAAGGTGTGGTATCACGGTGGCAGTTTCTGTCTCCAACCGTGGATGCCGGGTAGGAAGCTCATCGTGAGGGGTAGAGCTGCAAATCCCGCCACAGTCCAGAGGCGACAAGAGCTGGCTCGGGCAAGGGCCGAGTTTGAGGCACTCAAGAGTGAGAAGACTCTGGTGAAGATTCGATGGGAACACAAACCACAGAAAATGCTCTGGGGTGAGTTGTCAATCCTGACCGTCGTATTGCTCGCTATTAGTGTCATCTAACTGCTTCAAGGGGCATGTTCTGTCCACGCCAGAGCGCCCGGCATTCTATCTAGGGCCGATGCCCGGTTTCTATGACGGCGATATCATGCAAGTGGTAGTAAGGCTGGACGAAAGGTGATGGGCTCCTACACAAGCTAGTCAGGTCCGTTCGGTGTCAGCACATGCGGGGTCGCACCCAACACTACGGCCCAACAAGCTGCTCCCACCTCCGAGGGCTCGAGGTTTGCCCTGTATAGATGAAGGACACAGAGTACAATACCCGTTATTGCTGTCATCGGCGGGGACTGAATCTGAGGGCATGGCGTTGGGAAACTGTAAGGAAGTGCAAGTGAAGCAAGATTATCCAAGTGACGATTCTATGGCTTACGCCTTCCGTCAGAGACTCCGAGGCATCACTGCTGAGGGACTCGAGGTGCTTGCAGCCCGGATGCAGGAAAGGTCCGGTCTGCCTCCGATTCTGTGGAGGGTGTTAGGCCGGTACGTCGGCCGCCGTTGTTCGGAGCTTCCCTTACCAACACTAGAGTATCTCCTCTCAACTGACATGGCGGTACATTGCGAAGATTGGCATCTGATCAAGTCCGGTCTGGAGGTGCACTTGCGGGAGTTCGCACGATGTCCTGACGGTGAGTTCGGTATGGCCGGCCATTTGGCTGTGTTGAGAGTCCTGGGTAACTTACCACGGAAAGTAGCTGGCGGTTTAGCAACGCCTCTGGGCAATTTCCTGGCGCGCGCCGTTCCCTTGATGGACAGCAAAACAATTGGGGAGGTATGTAGATTGCTGTTGCCCTTGAGTCGGTATGGTGCTACTGAAGGCTGGTGGAACGCCGCCTCTGTGAAGTTAGCGTCGCTAGGGCCCAACGAGGAGGCTGTGCTGAAGGTAGAACACTTGCTAGAAGCGGCAGAGGTCAGCAAGGCTAGCCGAAAACTATTGGGTGAAATTCTGGAGGACTCGGCAGCTGCCTCGAATTCGTCCGGAGATGTCTTCCTGGAATCACTGGAGGCTCCGGTACTGCTCCCACCAGCCTGCAACAAGGAGACTTCCTCTGATGCGGTGAACACCACCGTGGGTGAAAGCGTGGTAAGGAGCACGAGCATGCGGCCATCACGAATAGCACTGGAATCTAGTGACATGCCTAAGTACCCTGTCTACCCGTTGTCATCTACTCCAATACTGTGGCATCTGTCGCCTCCCCACTTCAGCAGGGAAGTTTTCAATCTGACTGCACATAAGGTAGCTTCCTCTGTGTCGACCTAGGGTGAATCAACTCCCGGTCCCTCGTAGTTGGCACTGGTTATCCGCTCTGCGGCTGCTGACTGTTGCGGATTGGGCTTCCGTGAGAGGCATCGAGGCCTACCGCGGAGGCTCACCGACCGAGCCAAAGCTGAGGACTTCGCTCGAGTGCTGCTGTCAGCGGCCATTTCTCGTGTGAGTGTCACTGCTGTAGTTTTGGTCGTAACTGGTCCACTCCAGGTGGGTCGCTTCTCCCATCGTGATCTTTGTATTGTCATCCAGTCGGTTGGTTCGCTCTATCGCTCGCGGCTCATCTCTGAATGTGACAGCAGAGAAGTACTGGAGCCGGCACTAGGCAGGTTCATGACCAATGATGCCGTTAAGCGAACTTTGCCGGTGGACCTAGCACGAGTGGTATCAGGCATGAAGTAAGAAAACGCCGGATATTTGCTGATTCATCGACCTCCTGTCGTAGGCACTTCCCGAATTCAGAGTGGCGCGCTGAGATAGTGGCGGGTCTAGAAAGGCACACGGTTTACATTCTAGGTCTACCTTACACTGTCCCTCTGAAAGATGCCCTTCCTGCTGGTACTTTAGTATCCTTATGTGTTGCCTGGAGCGCTATGCGAGGCAGTGGCAGAGCGTTGAGACTGCTAGCGAACCACTTGCCTAAACGCAGGGGCGACCTGGGTCCGGCTGAGTGGGCGAGGTGCGTGCAAGCCCTCAGCGTAGCGTATGGTGGGAGACTGCGCCGGAAGCGACGACTTGAGCGGCGACTGGCTCGTGTCACTTGACCATGTTTCTGAACCGGTTTGGTTTCTGCAGTGCTTTGGTCATATCGAGTTTTTAATGGGAGGTCATCACCTCCTAGTAGTTGGATGCTTGCCCGTTTTCATTTGCGTAGCGGTGGTGTTCTTGTGTACCGAAGAGCATGTTGGCACGTGGTACAGACGGTGGGGTTCGCCTCAGTGAACGAGACCCCTAGTGAGAGGAGACGACGTAGGAGGATGCGGACCAGTGACGAGGACATGGAACTGTAAGGGCATTGCTACGCGGCCCTTACTATGGCGTTCGCTCAGGATGGATACGAAGGAGAAGCTGAAATGGGCGGCCACGGTGGTCGTGGCCACCGTTTTACCTCTATATGTCATGTACCGCTCCGCCGCTACAACTTCGGCCAAATATGTAGGAAACGCGATGAGAAAATATCGGCGGATTTTCTCTTTCGGTCAGACGGAGCAACTGGCCTTGCAAGAGGCTGCCGAACGACGTGAGTGGCTGAGAATGGCAGCAGTCCATGAGAAGGCTGAACAGAAGTATTCGGCCGACCCTGCTGAGAGAGCCAAAGGGGAGGCGGAGTTAGCAAGACCTGGGCAAACGCTGTAGTTTCCACGATGTCATTTTTCTATCGCCTATTGCTTGTGTTATAAGTACTGAGAACTCAAGCGATAGAAATGAGATTAATTGTCAATCATGGGGATGAGCTCACTTGTCGTCCACAGAAAGATCGTTGGAGGAGGTCTGAAGGAAAACTGACACGCGTCGGCTTTACGATAAGGATCACCTTATTGGCCAACTCCTGAATACTCCTTTCTAA